ATATATATATATCAGGGCTACATCTCTGATATCTTGAGTTGTATTTAGCGCAAACAATTCAGTCGTGAACCAAATAATTATATACAAGTTTCATTTTTGCAAGTTTTATTTAAGGGTAGGCTGGTGGCTATAACAGTTCGCACCCATTCTCCTCACTGGAGGGGGATGGACAACACTCTCAGACGATTCTGTCTCAGCTTATCAGGTCTACAGCATACTTCTAGAGTGACACAAAAACTATTGTTCTTGCATTAAATACTAACAGAAAATGAGGTAAAAAGACTCAGTCGTTGCATACCTTGTAGCTCCACCCATCATCGATAATCATTTAATGCTTCCTAATATGGAAGTGAAAGATTTTAAAATAACTCCTCCTTTGAAACAGAAATCTAATTATAATTCATTGGTATGTTTTCAGCCTTGAAGTCCCAAAATGGAATATCACTACACCTATTCTTTACCAAAGACATTTTATGAAAAGAGTTTTAATGCTTTTATAAATACAAAATATATATATATACACAACAGATTAAATTGTATTGTGCTATTAAATTTCCAAACAGATGCAAAAATTTGTCATTAATTTTATTTCCATTCAATTAGGCTTGTCAAATGACGCTTTTACAAACATAACTCGCCCACCAGCTGGAGTCTATGGGTCTTCCAACTACGTAGACTCTATAGCCGCTTTTCAAGTAAGCAATCCCTCTACATTAAGAATGTTTTCGAATAAAGTGTCGCAAGTTAAAAAGAAATTCAATGAGTAAATGTCGATCAGTCAGTTAGAGTGTATGAATAAAGGTCTGCTTGGATTGGGTACTGTATCAGGATTTATTGTATACAGGAGGATCAGAGTGTCCTATAAAAAATTAAAAAATAATAGCCAATTTATTTCAAACTATCAAACAGAAATTTTAATTTAGTTTAATGCTAACAAGATAATTTACTTTTAGTTTTCACTTTAGTTGGAAAATAAAACCATAATGAGTTTTAGAACTAAATATTATTACTTATAAAGTTACCATGGCGTGGTAGTAAAAAATACCTCGTTTTATCTAAAAATAAACGAAAAATTTCATAACTCTTTCACTTATATAAATTTTAATAGACTGCTTAGACCACAGTGTATATGAAATTTAATTTTTTCCTGTTATTTTTTCGTGATTTCTTATTATTATAAAACCTTACTTTTAAGTCAATTTCTCTATTTTCGCAATAACATAAGGAAATAGGTGAAATAAGGGAACACCTTCTTGTAAACTTTCACCTTTAAGTCATCTACGTAAATATATTTTGCAAAAGGAAAGAAAATTGTTTAATCTGTTACAGTTTAAATTTTTACTTTTCCAATATTTAATTATTAAATTGTCTTACACTTTTGAATAAGAATGTTACTAAAAAGTGTTTTTATTAATTTTAATTTGTATGTATTAGTTACCTTTTCGCACGTATTGCTTCAATAGTGATATTTATTTGCATTGCCACTATTGTAATTTTTTAAACTAGTGTCCGAAATGTTAACATTTTTTACTCCATTTGTATTCTATCCTAATGTTAAACAAATACAAAATGTTCAAAATTGCTGTTTTAACTACAAAATATTTTTGTGTACTGTTGCCCCCATTTTTCATGATGAAGTCAACTAAATACATTTTTAAGTAGAGAACTCGAGTAAATAATTATATAAAATTGGGAAAATAACAATTGTTTGAAACAATTCGCGCGATTTTATTACAAAAATGTGCTTGTTCTTAAATGAAATATTTTTACCCAAAAGCCATTAAATTTATTCGAATGTTGTCACAAAATGAATAAATAATTAAATAAAATTATAGCAGTGAAAAAGTATATAAAAATGTGACTAAATGCACTGTAAAAAATTCTAGTTTACCCTAACACCGTAAATGATGAACTATTCATCAACATTTTTTTACAGTATATACTTTCATAGTTGTTTGGACTCGGGACTTTAATTTACAAGAGTCTTGTAAGAAACAAAATCAACTTTAATAAAGGTTTAAGCGGAAAATTGCCGCAACTTTTACCAGACGTGCTATTGTTCCTACATACTATTCATGTACTACGCTAAATATTAAGAGAAAGACATTTTANATATTGTATTCGGAAAAATAATTTAATAAAAGCCATAAGAAGAAAATGTTATTAATTTTATTACAAAATAAATAAATAGATAAATAAATGAAAAAAAATGATAAATGTTGTAACTTAATTAACAGACTAAAAAAAGGAATAAATCATTCATTTCCATCCCATCATTCATAGGGTAACTTATTTAAAAGTCAGGGTTTGCGCATATGGATAAAAAGCCGTTTTTAGACTTTATCCTTCATTCATACATCCTTACATAATTTTAAAGTTTACATTGTACCATCTTCCATAGGGTGACTTACTTAAAAGTCAGAGTCTGCACATATGGATAGAAAGCCGTTTGTAGACTTTATCCTTCATTCATACATCCTTACATAATTTTAAAATCTACACGCATCACCTGCATTCATCAGTGGTGGTTGCTTATAAACCAGAGACCATTCCATTCTTACAAAAAAAATAGAATAATAATAGTAAATTGTAGTTAAAAATTAAATCCTTATGAAAAACAAATTTGTTCCTTTTTATATTGATTTTAAAACCTTTAATGATATTCTCTCTCCATTCAAAAAAAACCTTCAATTAGGAAATTATGCTTGTAAAATAATTTTGAAATAAAATCATCGAGATTTTTAATAAAAAATAGAAATTACTTTATTTTTAGAAGTTGGAAAAGATGGTCTAAATTTTGAACCTAAAGACAAAAATTTTTAAATTTTATCATTATCAATAATATCTAAATCCCCGGTAACAACATGTTTGTGGATGGTATCAAAAAAAGGAGTATTTTTATACGCATCACAATTACACTCATAGTTCAAATTATCTGTAGCTAAATCCCTACAATTGCAAATTACGTTTCTTAAACTTTTCGCATATCTAAAAGTTGGTTTGCAATTTAGTTGAACAGGAAGAAGGTTTTTATTTTTACCAAGAATTGCGCTTAAGTTAAGATTTTTAAAAATTTTATAAGTAAAATCTATAATTAAATAATCTGGTTTGGGTATATTCTTGTGCTTATAATTATTTTTAAACCTATAACTAGCTCAATTTTCAACTAAGATTAAAAAAGTTGAAATTTCTTGTTTTGAATCCATTTTTATTTGATCTAACGTTAAAAAATTTGAAAAATTTGTTATGAAAATTAAGCTTAATCCCTGAAATCTTAGTTTTACTAGATTTAATAACAATAGGTTGATCATAGCAATTAATACAATCATTAGCAAAATCTTTAAAGCCAGAATTAATTTTATTTTTGTGGTTACCTTTTTTCCCTCTGTTATTATTGTAATTTTTAAAAAGTTTAAAAAGATTATAAATACACTCATTATTATTAAAAGATTTAAAATTGAAGTTAGTATTAAGACCGTAAAGATAAATAGAATCATCAATTATCCTATATTTATTTTCTGTTCCAAGACGTTTTTTGGAGTTTTTAATGCAATCCAAAACCTCTATTGAAATATTTTTAAACCCGTGTTTAGAGAAATGTTTCATTTCAAAGGTAATGTTCTTATTATTAGAGTTATATTTGCTTGTTAAAGACCTATGTAAATTAATTCTGTTGTGAAGAGGTTGGGAGGTTTGACCAATATATATTACATCACAAATTAAACATTTAATTTTATAGATACAGCTAGTAGCCTTTCAAAAAGGGAAATTTAAAAAAGAATTAGCACTGACGAGTGATTTGCAGGTTAATCATCGATTATCCTTACATTTAAATTTATCATTGGAATTATTAGCAATTGATTAAACTGAAGCAGGGTTCTAACCTGAATCGTCAGGGGACCAAAAATTAGCTAAAATAAATACAAAATTCGGAAGAAAAATATCTCTTGAACAAATAACCACGTGCATGAGCAATAGGGGAAAATTTGTATTTAAGAGAAAGAAGCATAAAAACAAATAAAAGAGTACTAATTC